GAGCGAAGACAACTGTTAATGAAGGTCTGCAATTTGTTTGAGATGCTTTTTATGACGTGCAGTACAAGTCTCTGATCCGTATAGTAGCACTGACTTAACATTGGAGTTGAAAATCCGGATCTTATTTTTGATGCTGAGAGTTGTTGACCTCCGCACCACGGACTTGAGATTAGTCAAAGCTTGTCTTACTTTTCCGATTGTTGCATCGTCTGACATGCGTAATGCAAAATCATGGGTTTCAACTGGATTCAATTTGTCAATTGGCTGGAGTTACTACAGCAAGTTACCAAAACAGTAGGTAGCAACTGAAGCGAATATTAGTGGTATGAATTGGACGTAATCAGGAATATTTGGTGCTAATTTCCCAGAAATCAATGACACCAAAGATAAAAAATAACAACAGCCAAAGTAAGTATTGTTATCTGAAGGGTGGAGTTCAGTTGCAATGTCCATAAAACAAACCCCTTGAGGGATCTGTATAAGTCAGATCCTAAAGAAAGCGTTAATACTAAAGGATAAACCGATGTTTGTTCTATTTCTGTTCATATTTTCTAAAGGAGAAATCGTGTTTGAAATATTTGAAGGAATAATTCTGTACATGTCATTGGTGTTATAAGAGAAAATCGGTTCGTTAGCGTACGTGTGTAGTATTCGACTTATTCCATGGGTACTTGTTCTCCAAATCTAAACTGTCTTTGTGAAATATTCTACTTTTTTCAAATCGTGGAAAATACCCATTGGAACATTAGACTGAAGGAACAAGAAGTTCAGCAAAGATATCTTTTCGGCGATTTCATTCTCAAGAGCTGTACAATCGCATTTACATGGATAAGTTTACATGGACACAATTCTTACTGGTTTAACTCCACATAGTAACGAAGGTGATAATAATTTTCAACTTGATATGAAAGTTTGAAGGTACGAATATAGATTACAAGGGGCTTAGAGACAAGATTGCATAGGATTAGATAACAGTTACAACGTATGCAAAATTAATATTTGATAACTGGAGAAATAGTTTTAAAGGCGAATAAAAGGTGATAATTGTTTTCAACTTGATATGAATTACAAGAGGCATAGAACGAATTACAGGTGTGGACAAAATGAGCATGGAAACAAATTGAAATCAAAATTTTCAACTTGAAATGTAAGTTAGGAGGTGTGAATATAGATTACAAGAGGCGTATAAACAAAAAATTACACAGGATTAGAATATAATTGTAAAATGGTTATTCTAAACGGATTATAAGTGTGATCAGGAGGAGCATGGGAACAAACTTAAAATAACTGATTTTTATAACTGACCAAGAATAGGATGAACTGAATGAAGGTAAAGAGAGAAAATTACACACACAGATAACAAAACAAAAAAAAACTGAAGGATAAGGGAACATACCGAACTAGGTCCATGGTAGTTGTAAAGGCTGGACTAGTTTCTTTTGAACACATAGCTCCGGCTTTTCGATGCATATGGTGAGAGCTTTCGCAGTACAAAGAAGTCGGAAGCACACTGTCTTTGGTAGATTTTTGTTTACTTCGTAGATGACTCTAAATGATGAGTCGGTTGAGATTATGTGACAGGTATTGACAAGACCCGCATAGAACGACCTATGTACCTAGCTCCACAAGAGCAGGTGAACTGATATATGCACATTAAAGTGGTCATATGCAGAAGTCTATCCTTCCCATTGCTCCGAAGTAGTGGGCGGCTAGAGAATGTCACTCTTAGAGTTGCTGCCGGAAAAGCCTTCTTCAGGGATTTGGAGATTCTCCTTATAAAGACATCTGCTGCTAGGTCTCCCCTGAATTCCAGATTCAAATAAAATGTCTTCTTTTGAACTGAAGTGCATTCTTCTTCAGTGCAAAAGTAGACATTTTATTTGAATCTGGAATTCAGGGGAGACCTAGCAGCAGATGTCTTTATAAGGAGAATCTCCAAATCCCTGAAGAAGGCTTTTCCGGCAGCAACTCTAAGAGTGACATTCTCTAGCCGCCCACTACTTCGGAGCAATGGGAAGGATAGACTTCTGCATATGACCACTTTAATGTGCATATATCAGTTCACCTGCTCTTGTGGAGCTAGGTACATAGGTCGTTCTATGCGGGTCTTGTCAATACCTGTCACATAATCTCAACCGACTCATCATTTAGAGTCATCTACGAAGTAAACAAAAATCTACCAAAGACAGTGTGCTTCCGACTTCTTTGTACTGCGAAAGCTCTCACCATATGCATCGAAAAGCCGGAGCTATGTGTTCAAAAGAAACTAGTCCAGCCTTTACAACTACCATGGACCTAGTTCGGTATGTTCCCTTATCCTTCAGTTTTTTTGTTTTGTTATCTGTGTGTGTAATTTTCTCTCTTTACCTTCATTCAATTCATCCTATTTTTTCAGTTATAAAATCAGTTATTTTAAGTTTGTTCCCATGCTCCTCCTGATCACACTTATAATCCGTTTAGAATAACCATTTTACAATTATATTCTAATCCTGTGTAATTTTTTGTTTATACGCCTCTTGTAATCTATATTCACACCTCCTAACTTACATTTCAAGTTGAAAATTTTGATTTCAATTTGTTTCCATGCTCATTTTGTCTACACCTGTAATTCGTTCTAAGCCTCTTGTAATTCATATCAAGTTGGAAACAATTATCACCTTTTATTCGCCTTTAAAACTATTTCTCCAGTTATCAAATATTAATTTTGCATACGTTGTAACTGTTATCTAATCCTATGCAATCTTGTCTCTAAGCCCCTTGTAATCTATATTCGTACCTTCAAACTTTCATATCAAGTTGAAAATTATTATCACCTTCGTTACTATGTGGAGTTAAACCAGTAAGAATTGTGTCCATGTAAACTTATCCATATAAATGCGATTGTACAGCTCTTGAGAATGAAATCGCCGAAAAGATATCTTTGCTGAACTTCTTGTTCTTCTCAATCTAAATATCCTACGGTTCATATACATTGCTGGATTTAGCAGAGGCCTGCTCTAAGGTCAGCACCAAATGGGATGGAAAATAGCCTGGTGTCTCTACACTACTATAGTATCAATATTGTAGAGACATAGAATCATGGAAGTTGGAGAGGATTACCGCCTTCTTCGGAGGAGGTTTCGTGTGATCATTTATGTTGATGAAACTGTCCTCATGAAGAAGTGTAATAGGGGTGGCGAGAAGGGGTAATCGAGTCAGGGCGCTTCGAGTATACGACACTTCAGTCAGTACGAAAAGGCTTTGTGGAAACAGTACCCAATAAGAAAAAGTACCGGGGTATTAATTCCAATTATTCTACGCTTGATAATGCTAGGAACGACCATACACATAGTGACGAATGGAGGGGATATAACCAATTTGGGTTATATTCATCATCGTGTCAACCACTACTCCGATCTCGTGGATCCAATCGCAGGCACCCGCACTGACTCTATCAGAGGATTTTGAGGAGAGGGATCGAAGAAAAGAATTGGGAATACCAATTGATTCCAAAGTACCATGATTTACAGGCACATACCTCGATGAATAAATGTACTGGGTACGGTAGGATTTCTTTGAGGATTACACCTGGAGAAACTGTGAAGTATTTCTACAAAACAACATTAGAGGCCATTATCCAGTTTAATATCATGCTTGTAACTTGTTCAATACATTTTTTTAACGAATATGCAGCTTTGTTTTGCATCTGAACTCTGAGTGGTTGACCAAGGTTGCAGTGACTTTGGCTATGACAATTTAAATTCGCCCATGTCAAAATTCTCCTGAGAACTCCGAAAAATATGTTATTAATCCTTCGAGTGTGAAACTGAATCGAACTGAGACAAGACACATTATCTTTCAGTTACCAGTTCACTTGAAATTCAAAGTGATAACATTGAAATAAGTGCAAAACACTCAGACTTCTCAGTTATTGGTTGAAAATCAAATTCCCTTCATCTATACTGATACTATTAATTATTGGAACACAAAATTGGTACATTATGGCCACCAAGAGATGAGCCTTACAAAATCTCATAGTTCCCGTAAAGGCTGGATCATTGCCTGCACACCTAGTATGAAACAGACGATTTCATCAGGAGAACACCCCAACTCCATCGAGTTTGCCCTTAAAGCCTGGTCCACAAGACAGTGGGGCAGCGTCAGCTTTCCGGTGACCCATACAGGTTCAAAAGCCAATCGATCCATTCAGATTCTGGAGGCCATATGCAAGATTGGTTTGCAATCACGCTTTTCCAGCTCTCCTCAGTAGACCGCCATGTCCACCGGTCCATTCGTAAGCGCCAGATGTCTGAATTCACCCTTTCACTTTGTGATGAACAGTGAATACGATTTACCCCCCGCAGAAGCTATGGTCGCATTACTACATCAGAGCATTTCCGAAGACAGGCCAAAGTCTGCTCAGTCTCCACCATACCAGGTCGTTTATGATTTAGGCCACGCATAAAACGTCTATAGAAGAAACGAACATACACCTGTCGAGTTAATATGCAACTCATTGTACTTACTATTTAGTCCCAACAACACTAACTAACAGGGAGTGATATATGAACAAATCTGGCTTGAAGGCTTGAACAAAGGTTACCTTACTGCACACTTATTTATTCCTTTCAGCTCTGAATGCAACATAGGGACTCAAGACTTCGGAGTTTCAGTAGTGGTAGTGTGGATTTTTTACGGGATGCCCTTGTTAGCCTCACACCTAACCAACTTTCTCTCCTCCAGACGCCACTACTATATTGACTAGAAAACTAGACACGGTTTAGAAGTGTGACGGACAGAAATCGAAGCCGGAATACTTGTGTGTGGTTGACAAAGCATTCAACCATTCGCCCGTCCACCAACACAGTGTTCACTTTTGACAAACCCAAAAACAACAAAATAAATAAGACGAAATAAAATGGTGCACAAATTCATACCAAATAATACGGCCGGCTTACAAGTGTCGTCACATAAGCCTAGTACCACCACAAATAAATGTGAAAATTCTTTTCTACTCACTTCTAAAGTTTAATATATACAAATGAATTATCATTCCAAATTAAACAAATTAAAAAACGCATAAAGAAAAAATAAAAACATTCTCTAGAAGTAGTAATGAATCAAAAAAAATATTACCTATTAAATGTACGCAGCCTGGACTCTAGTCCACGTTCACGTAAACAGAAGCGAGTCATTGAACTGCCAAGTTCTCTTAGACCACAATTACTACTGTAAGCACAATCTGCAATTTTTTGAAATGCTTCCAAGAATCCACCAATACATTGGATGAAAGTTCTTTGGAGGAAAACAACAACAAAAAGAAATGACAACTGCATGAAAATTATGAATAGAAAATGTTTTACCATAAGTGTGTATATATATCTATATCCACAAGACTATCCACAAACTATGGTGTACACCCATACTGCTCAGCACCAAACAGTTATCCAAAGGACACTGAAGCAAACACTGACTAACTAACTAGCTGATTTTCAACGTAGAAATTTCCACAGAAGTTCAGCAGATCAATGGCCTCACTTTATATAACACACACAAAGGTTGAGAGAAGGAAAATTACAAAAAGAGCTAGAATCAACAGAAATGTGCAGGAGAAAGAACAAAAAAAAACTGGAGGAACATGAAAATGTTAATCAACCTGGGAGATTAGAAACACCACTTGCATTCACACCACTGAGAATGATTTCAAGTTATATATTATCAACACACTGACGCCATTCGCTACCTAACTGAAACAAACAAGATCTAATTTAAATCGTAGACTTTCAATTTTCCAAATAGTTGGTTTATAACTCGTGAATGAAAAGGTTTGAATTCCTCTACAATAGACAATACTCGCCTCCAAAGCCGCAGGGTGGTCGGGGGTGGGTGCCTTGCGCTGCGGGTTGGCCACCCCTCCGCACACCTCTTCAAATGATCCCATATGACCGGGCGTCTTACATAGCCTCTCCTGAGGAAGTCCTACTCACTGCCTTCACGTGGCGGTGTTTTTCACCAAAGTGAGGGGGGGAAAGCGGATGCCCGGCGCTCTTCACCTGGTTGACTGTCCATTGGATGACAGTCTAGAGGAGATGGCTAAACCTTGATTTCAAACCTCCAACGACTTGCGTATGAAGCTCACTGGAGCTCACCGGCAGACATATGGACAAAGGGCTTGTTGGATGTCCTGGATGTCTGGCCACATTCAAAAAGGCGTATGAACCGAACTCCGGTCACCGGCTGCCAATGGATAGTGGACTCCCTACTCCACTCCTAATGCCTTGTAGGTCACACTTGGTTGTGTAAAGGCTAGAGCTGCACTCTCAAACAAAAGGCCGAGCGATTCTGGGGACATCACTCGTACCAAATTCCCATGAAACTTCATGAACTCTCTTTAGATCGCCGCGCCTGGGCAGCGATGATTCGAGATGTTCATTAAGCCTGCTCATCCTCCCGTAGGAGATAGCCGAAGTAAAGTAAGACAACACTCGCCACTAGACCTCAAACAACAAGTTGAGTTGGAATTCATCCCGTCAATGTGAAACGTCTACCTAGTTTTTGTTCCACTCCACCACAGGCAGTAAATGTGGAAAAGTGAATTTTCACATCATCGATTCAATCCAGCCAACTGGTTTGAAACTATAAGAATTCGACTGAGCAACTGACAAGTTAATCCTCACAATTGTTCGAAACCAACTATAAGGATCAACCATGATAACTACTGAACTAAAGACTTAGTATAGATATTGTGGAATTATTGCATACATTGCATAGGGCTGAGTTTGTAGTCAGTTATTTAGACCCGAACAAGTATACAACTGATGGAGAAACACTTGATAGAGAACACTCCGTAGGATTTCAATACCACATAGCTTGCCGCTTTTATTTTCAGTCAGCCACTGAAATTCGCAGAAAGGAAACACCAAGCACACCGAGAAATAATACCAGCAAAGCAAGTGATACATAAGCCTCAATTGACCACTAAACGACATTACAATCACCGTTACACCCCGTCAACTCTCATTGCACATTTCATCACTTTGTCTCTTAAATAAACAATGTCCTGGATCATAAGTGTGAATTTGGTTCATCGCCCTTTGAGACTTCAGTTTTTGAGATGCAGTTTCCTTTACTGGTATTATAATGTACAAACGATGATGACTTGTATTCCACATGTAAGCACAGTTAACAACTGGCCTCTTTTATTGTGGCTCATGACATTGTTGTGCCACTAAGATAACACTAAACACCCTCCCGAATCAAATTTCCACTAGGAACAGATGACTAGTAAAGCTGTAAGAAAAATCAGTGACAGTTTGCTGACGATCAAGTTTACAATCTGCAGAACCATTCACAAAATTCATGGGACTTCCACACCATGGGTCAAACAAGTTGACGAATGTAGACTTCTTGGAAGATATCAACTAATGCCGTACTAGGAAAACTGCCTTAAAAAGGAGGTGACCGATAAAACTATCTTTGCTTAAAACAAAACATCTAAACTGCAAGAATCCTTCTGTTAACACAGGAACCGGATTCCGCTGACAATCAATCGCCCACAAGATGCATTCCAAACTAAACACAAACAAGAGGCTATAAGTACCCATTAAGGTCCAAGAAACATACTACATTTAAGTATTTCATCACAATCACGCTAAAAGTCGCACAACGACGAAACAGTAAATGTATAATTGACAGAAAAGTAATTTTTGACTTATTTTCATCGAACACGACTTAATACAATACTTCGAAGACGATCGTGTAACAAGAGAAAAACAAACGGCTACAAAATAAGTAACAACCACACATAGTTACGATTAACAACAAAGTTAACACTTTTTTTATTTACAGCTTGATGCCATACTGATACTGTTCACAAGAAACTGAGGATATGAAAGAGAAGTATAACTATGGGGTCATGACCAACTAAGAAATCTTTAGTCCTAAATGGTAATTAAAATTTAGGTCATATCTGAGAGGACTGGATATCTTCAGAGTTTCATTATTACTATACTAATTAGACTTTTACAATGAACAATATGTTAAACGAGATACATTTAAAAGTGCACCACACTAGCTATACTTCTCAAATGAAGTTGACACCAGTCTTTCTATCATGACAGGTATTCAACATGTACATATTCGTGGACGTGATGTACTTCAGTAGTAGATTACTCCTCTACGTAGCCACATAAGACGGATGAACTCCTACCGGCTGTCCAAGGAGAATTAGGAACTCGACCACAAGTCGGCAACTATTTACATTCTTGTCAAACAAGAAAATCCTTGTGAACGGTTAATGAAATGAGATACGTGCATCGTCTTTGGATTAATTTTTTCGCCATCTTAATTATTGTTTCGAATGCAACGCTTAAAGGAAAGACCTTAAGGTCCATAGGTTTGTTATTATTTAGGAAGAAAAGTGAAGCAAAACAGAGTTTAGACTTACTTCAACGACGCACTTAATTTTGATGTTTTCGTTATCATATCTTCCCACAGCCCTAAAGAACTCTAGAAAGCGAAAGTCAATAATTTCTAGTCCTTCTTTACTTTCAGACTTGCGAGCTGAGAATTGAAATTGAAACATTACGTACCATGTCTGACTCTGATCTATGTGTTACAAAACAGTCACGTCTTCACGGTCCAAATAAGGTTAAACGCTGCTGAAGACTTAAAAGCAACATTGTTGTATTAAAAACAGTAGTAGGAACTTCAGGAATTATAATCCAAAATAAGCGAAACGAAAACCAGGCATGGGTGACCGCTCGAAGAATTAGTAAAACAATTGAAAATTAATGAACATTTGTACAATGTCGAATAAATGGTTAACGAGCGTAAAATTACTTCTTGTAAAAGAGCAATATGGATACCCTGGGGTTTATTACACAAAGTATGTGTCCGACCTATTTTAGAATACTGCCCGTTTATTCTTAGCGGACTGCGACAAACTGACAAGCTTGAGCTAAACCTTATTTTTTACTACAAGCTAACTAATCTGCTCGTGAACTCCTCCGAGCCAATAACTAAACCGACCGCTGTCATCAGCTACAATCTTAGAAATCATCACAACCTAGCTGCTATAAAGCATTGTCAGACTTGCATGCGGTACAACTTCTTAAATAAGTTTTCAGTCATTTGGAATAGACTACCAGTTGATGTGCATTATGCAAACACTCGCAGTGTTCATCTCCTCAGTCACCAGACTGCTCAAAGGTGACGATACACTTCTGCGTCTGACTCTTACATCCCCTTTTTCACCCTACATAGATATTTTAAGTTCATTAAACGCGTAGTTATAACAAACTGCAATTATAAATTTTTATATTATTGGAAGTACATGATGGACATTTTTACACAGGACAATAGTATTAGTTCACACATAATAAAAAAGTTAGCATAACGAGACTAGTTAGCTGGTGTACCAAAGTAACCATAGTTACTACATAGAATATATATGCATATATTTATTAATCACTCCTTGAGGACTCTACTTGCTTTCTTTGTGTTGTTGTTGTTTGTCTTCTTTTTTCTCTCACCATTTTAGCTTCCATTTGACTTCGAATGAGAATGTGGATATCTGACCATTTGCAATGACAAATGATCTGCAAACATTATTGGTCCCATATCTCATAATTCCCTCGTGAATTACGCATTACCTTTCCCCACGACGCAACCTGGATTACAGTTGTGAAATGTACCTTTATACCAATGAAAAAGTACTGATTTATAATACTTCACGATTGTAACTTAAAACATAACCGATCGTGTCTGCAAAATAGCTTGCATTTCTTGAAAACACCCGTTTATAAGAAAATACAGACTGTCATTATTATTAGTCTACATTGAGTACAATTCACTTGTGATGTTACGGTGAAAATGCTGACAAAACTATACAACTGTATCACTTGTTTTAAATTATTACCAAATTTGGATATAAATCAAGAATAAGACTCGATGCCGTACACACCAAAGTTATATGGGGAATTACTTCAAGCTTAATTTTTTTCCCAAATATTTGTAATCCATCCAAAACATACTTGGGTTATTTTTGTTAATGCGAAGACGATATTTCTATGTTTCTTGATGTGCTCCACTGAATCCCCAGTTATCCCATTGTTCCCACGAACTAAAGACAAAAACGGCGTCAACCATGTATTTTCACTGTAAACCAAATTTGTGTAATTTAAATTATGCTTATTCATGCCTGTACAATTGGTGTGTCCTACACAGGTCGGAATAAATATGTATTTTATTGAATTATTACTATTATTAAATATGCTTACTAGTCGTATATGTAATTCATCATATCGATGATGCCTGTAAACTGTTTTTTCAGGAGTAAATTACGACATACTTTATCGAATGTTTTCTTAAGATCAATATACATAATGAGCACAACGAATTTTTGGTCTGTACGTCCAGTTATAAAATCAAATAGTTCCAAGTGGCAAGTCGTGCATGACCTGGACTTTCTGAAACCATACTGAGAAGGTGTTATGAGGTTTTCAGTCAAAAAGAAGTCAGTGATTTTGGTACTGATTATCTTCTCAAGTATCCTCTACAAGAAAGACGTTATATTGATCGGCATGTAATTCTTTACATCATATTTTGGGCCGGATTTAAATCTTCGGGTAATATACGTCTGCTTCCATTCGGAAGGTTTAACTCCGTTTATAAGGGACGTTGAGAATATTCAAAGCAAAAGGAGAGGGAGACCGGAGCCACCATATTTTAGGGAGGATGAAGGAATTGACTCAGGTCCAGGAGTGTTGGAGAATCTCAATGAACGCACTGCACTTTCTATAACATCAACAGTCAAGCATATATTTGGCAGTGTTTTGTTTGTTACAAGGTCAAATTCGATGCATGCAGAGATATCGTGCGCGTATGAGTCAGAAAATTGCTTGTTAAGAGTTCAGCTATGCCTGCATCATCCTTAACAGCGACGTTATTATGAAGAGTGTGGGCAGCTTGTAGTGACCCGTTTTATTACTCATCATCGCAGTATACTTTCATTGTGTAATTGTACTTCGATTTGTTTATTACTCTAAATCTTGCATGTTAACAATTGATACCTTTTGTACTCGCTCGATTTTTGAATTTTGATTGCTGCAAGAATACACTATCGTATTCCTTCGCAAGTGCCTTTTAAATTACGTTGTGGATGTCGAGTAATCACAACGTTAGCACACAATTATAAACGCGAGGAAGTACTAGAAGATACGTGTATTCTAGTTTAGTCAAAATATAGCGTCAACAAATTGGCGAGCCCGACATAGCTGATTGATGGACTACATCATTTCGAAGTATACGCAGTGGAATAAATCATCTTTGCCATCGCATTAACTTTTATAACTTCATAACATTTGGATGTGTAATTACTGATATTTCTGCTAAATGTACCTCCGGACCTGGCGGCAAAGCGACTGCTATCCCAGTTCACCCTGATACTCAAGCAGCTGGTTGTTATGCAACACCTCAATTCCAGTTCTCTGTCCTCAAGCTTCAACATTGTCTACAGGTGTGCAAACACTCTTACAATGGTCTGCAACTCCATTTACTCAAGCCGGTCCTACAGCTGTTCAATTACAACAGTTTACCCAATCACCTCAACAACAAAAACAACAGATTCAAGCACAAGCTCATCAGCTACAACCAGCTCAACAGCCAACTTATATCCAACAACATCAGCAACAAGCAACAATGATGGCAACTGACGTCTCTGTCAGTGGTCAATCTTGTACTGTAGCTGCACGCTCCTATGCTACTCCCCAGTTTGTCATTCTGGCACCAGGAGCTCCATTAAAAGTCATGACTGTTGGTCCTAACGGTCAGCTGATTTAAACCACTGGTTTCCCACAGCTTGTGCCAACTGCTCTTGTTGGAATGGCTATCAATCAACCAACTTCTACTCTCCAACCTCAGCAAATATCAATTCAAGTTACTCCTCAACGCCGAGTAACAACACCCCAGCAACAACAACAACATGCTGACGGACATTCACTTTCAACCGTATCAGGAGCAGCAGCTACTGCTGCACTCTTCTCTGGCACAGCCATCTCTTGTACAATTCCACTTGTACAACCAGCTTTCATGGAAACAGAGGTAACTGAATGTTTACCCAAGTCATTTCCGCACTTCCTTATTACTATACTATTAACTGTATGTTAAGATATAAATCTATTCTGTAACTATTTACAATAACAACCTCATTATTATTCTAATAATAATTTTTCTGCTTTTATTGTTACATGTTGCACAACTTTCTAAACATTTTAGTTCGTTTCAAAGTTGTTAACATTTTCGAATATATACAGTTATAATCGAACCTCAGAAAACTAAAAAAGCCTCAATTCGGTTTTCATATTTTTTTGTTCTTGTAATTTACAATATCATTCCGAATACAGGTAAACTTCATTTACCTGCATTCTACGGAGGGCTATTGTAGTGACCCGTTTTATTACTCATCATCGCAGTATACTTTCATTGTGTAATTGTACTTCGATTTGTTTATTACTCTAAATCTTGCATGTTAACAATTGATACCTTTTGTACTCGCTCGATTTTTGAATTTTGATTGCTGCAAGAATACACTATCGTATTCCTTCGCAAGTGCCTTTTGAATTACGTTGTGGATGTCAAGTAATCACAACGTTAGCACACAATTATAAACGCGAGGAAGTACTAGAAGATACGTGTATTCTAGTTTAGTCAAAATATAGCGGCAACAAGCTTATCAGAACCACCCTTATCTGTGGAGTAGCGCTTCATTGTTAAGGATCCTGAGCTTGAATGACATGTACAAAAAAGCTGTCTTAATAAGAGAGCTTAACTTTTAAACTCTCCAAATGCAAGTACGTAGTATGATTTCGCTACTTCTGAAGGAAACTTAACTTTATCCATGGGAGCAGCAGTATAGACGCCATTTAACTTCTGCTCTTCTTCTACATATTTCATGTGCTCTAATTTCTTGGTTTAACTCCTTTTTCAGAACCTATTCTTACCATTGCCCCGAATAGGTGGGGACAGTCATCTCCTTTTTACTGCTATACAACTAGACTAATCGTTAGAGCGAAACAATGAAATTCCACGACTGCAAATCCTCAGTGAAAAATGAACCTGTGCACTTATTATACTTGTTCAAAAATACTAAGGTTTGTCGGCTACTTCTGTACCTACCTTGCAGTTTGCTTTTGTCTGATCATCTTTGCAGATGTACTGCTCTGGCCTACAGAAATGGTACGGTGATGCTATCCTCTACGTTAGTATTACTCTAACAGATTGTAGAAATAACCAGAACATAGAAGTTGCAGATATTCAGAATACTGTTAGCACATCTGATGTGGATGAAAACGACCTCCATCATGAAATTTGTTGGTCACTTCGAAGCTGCTCCCATATAATATCTAACATCACAATAACACCACACCTAACGACCGTAGAATTTTGTGAGTTTTCGGACCCCATATACTTCACAAACAAATAAAGATTGTAAATTCCGCAACCCTTTCGTTTCGACTTAGCTCCACTACACTGAAAAGGGCCTTGAACTCAACGTACACCTTTAAAAAACCCGCATGAAACTGACATGAATCAGGCGTGTCGAAGCCTAGAATATTGATTTTATCTATTAGCACGCAAATCAATGGATTCAAAGAAAATTACACGAATTACCTACTCACTTATTTTAACTGAACTCCACACCTCGAGATACATTACGCCGGTTTTTATTTTTTACCTTTAGTGTCATCGATT